GGCCTGAAGTTGATCTTCAAATCCAGCACCGTCAGGACCAATAACTCCAGCAACGTGCGGATGGCGTTCGGCAACATCCGAACGGACTCGGCGAGCAGCACGATGCACTCGTCGATTACGAAGGCCATGTCGACGAGCTCCTCCTCGGGGCCCACGGGTTGGCCAGACCAGAACACTTCGGGGCCCCTCCTTACCCGGAAGGTGATGCCAGCGGCGCTCATGGCGATATGCAGCAGGATGGGCCCAACGGAATACAGTGTGGACCACGGATGCGCGAGACTGACATCCTTTACGGCCGCCCTTCTGTGTAATCCCTCTTGACGCTCTCGAACCATATGCGAACCACGATCCATTGTGAGCGTCACGGAGCAGCTCTATCACCAGCGGGTCCAGGCCCCATCGCTGCAGCAGTGGACTGTGTGTCTGCAAAAACTCAGCTATCCAAGCAGCCTGACGCTCGGACAATCCAAGGAATCGAACATGTGATATGGGGTCCTTCGCACTCTTGGGAGCAAAACTGAACGGTACTTCGCGAATAATTGTCAAAGGCCTTAGTCATGTCTACGAAAAAGACCAATATCCACATGGATTTGAGCTGGGCCAGGTCAACGGCGGCCAGAAGCTCGTGGCAAAGTCGCAACCGCCACGCGGGACAGCGCCAAACTGGGAGTTGGGCATCTGCAGCGGTTACATGATATTCACTGAACCCATGAGAATGCCGTGCGTTATATATATATATATATATATATATATATATATATAATGTGCATAGTCCTCTTCCTATATTTTTGCAAGCCCGGGCAGGGGGAAAACCCGTCACCCCCCCCCCGCCCCCCAAAACCGGACTCCCGAGATCTGAGGCTTTGGGACCCTCTGGACGGGCCTCGAAGCGGCCCCCCGGGCATCGCAGGACGTTTTGCCAAGCCTTCCCAGCACACATAGGGCGATCAGGGGGGTCATCGGAGACGCCCCAGAGACCCCCAAGACAGCACAAGAGCGCTCCAAGAGTGACCGACGTGACCTCAAGATGGCCCAAGAGGCCTCCAGGACGGCTCCAAAGAGGCCTCCAAGAGCACTCCCAAGAAGGTCCCAAGAGCCCAAAATCATTGTTTTTAAATAAGTTGTTGGTGAAGTTTGGGGTTCTCCTCTTTTCGGCTTCCCGACGCTCCAAGACGGCGGTCTTCTGGGCGTCCGAAGCCGCCTGGGAGGCTCCAAAGTCGCCCCACAACCATCCGAAAGGGCTTCCAAGCAATCCAAGAGAGCCCCAAAACGGCACAACACGGGTTCAAGATGGCCCTCAGAGAGCCCCATGGCGGCCCAAGATGGCCCCAAGACACCCTCCGAAGCATTCCAAATCGTGACCTGGTCGTTCAGGGAGACCGCGGCTGGAGGCAGGGTGGCCCGAGGAAGCCCCCAGAGGCCCCCAGAATACTCCCAGGAGGCCTCCAGAAGGCCTTAAGAACGCTTGAAACAATTGTTGTGAGGCCCCCAGAGGCTCTCCAAGGAGGAGCCTCCGCAAAAAAGAGCTGAGGAAGGGGAGAATGCGCAGGGTATGGCGAAAATGAAAGAAAATTAGCATGGAGGAAGGATAACGAAGAACATTATTCTAGCGGCGATGCCGGAAAAGGCAACAAGGAATCATCGCTAAATTGTCGGCTTGACTTTCCTGCCATACCGCCTGCATACCAAATCTTAAGGACCAAGGTTCATGGCGCGAAGTGCCACTGCAGTCTTGTATATACATATATATATATATATATATACACATGTGTGTATTGGTGTATATATATATATGTATACAGATATAAATGTCTATATACATCTGTACACGCACACATATCTGCCACTGTGCCTCTGGGCACGGAGTGGGCGTGTCCTCAGGTCGTCTGCTCAATCCACTGAGCCTGAGAGCTTCAGAGCCCAGTCCTGACGAGTCAATTAAGGGCCCGGGGCCAAAATGGCCAAATTAAGCGGTTTTTGCTGCGGTTCCTGGGTGGTTCCCAGCGTGGTGGCACGTGACTTTTTCGGGCCCGAGAAGGCCCCAAGACAGGCCAAGAGCGCCCAAAGACAACGAAGCCCCAGAGACAGTCCAAGAGGGCCCCGATACGTCCAGAGATCGGCCCAACATGCGCAAGATGGCATCCAGACGGACAAGGAGGCCTCTAAGACACCCCACGAGGTCCCCAAGAGGCCTCCCAAGAAGGCCCCAAGATGCCAACATGATTGATGTCCGTCGGTGTTTGCAAGTTTTTCGCTTTCTCGCCTTTTCGGCTTCCCGACGCTCCCAGCCGGCCCTAGGGGCCCCCAAGATCGCCCCACGAGGCCTCCAAGGGGGCCCCCGAACGGCACAAGAGTTCCCCAAGACGGCCCACGAGGCGCCCAAGAAGACCACAAAAGACGGCTCCAATAATGACTACCTACCAGACCACCCCAACCCAACCCGAAGACCCGAATTTCGGGTTGGGGGGGTGGTAAGGGTTCCACATGTGTTTTTTCGACGTTCCCAGACCCCCCCCAACTGGAAATGGAGGGCAAATTGAGGCCTTCGGGTTGGGTTGGGGTGGTTTGGTGGGTGGTGAAAGAAGGGGCCCAGATGGGGACCCGAGCGGACATTTCGAGCCCTCGGGCCCGGATGGGGCTCCCAGGAGGCCCCAAGATGCCCCCAAGATGCCTCCAAGAGGTCCCAAGAGGCCCCCAAGAGGCCCCAAAAGGTCCCCACGAGGCCCCGAAGAGGCTCCCAAGAGGCCCTAAAGCTGCCCCCAAGAGGCCCCCGGGAGTGCTCCGAAGAGACCCCAATAATCATCCCTGAGAACTCTGACCCACGACCGAGGCACGGTGGCGGGATGGACCCAAACCCATTGTATATGGCTACGTGTGTGCATGTACTTCCATATACATATATGTATATGTCTGTATATGCATGTCTATATATATATATGTATATATGTGTGTATGGTTAGGTATACACATACATATATGTATATACAAACATGTACAATCTATACATAACAACGTTTTCAGTGTAAAACGCATTATCGGTTCAAACGCCGATTGTTTGACGCGTCTGGCACCGTTACTTCTTACCGCTTTCGTTTGCACTGGTGCGGGCCTGGTCCAGATCACCGCTTCTGCAAACCAGATCCGAACGTCTTCGAACCAATTCCGAACGTCCTTCAGATTCCCGCATCGCCCAGCCCGTTTCGGTGAACAATTGTTTCTATCGTTTCAGTGAACATATTTGTTTGAGGTCTTAATGATCACGAAGCACGTCTTAGTAAAAATAAACGGCCCTGCCATTTCCAGTGCCCCTGTAAGCTCCGATCCGCCAAATGCAGGGACCCATGACACCTTCGAAGGACTGTTTTCCTAGCAGCACAGTGAGGGCTTTGGATGAGGAGTCCTTGGATAAGGAATCCAGGGTCTGAAAACTGAAAGAACAACGATAGAGACTTGACCATGGATAATATCACAGCCGCCCTCATCTGACAAGGAATCATCCAGGGTCTGATGCCTCCTGTGCACGTTTCTCAACGGCTGCCTTCATCGTATGGGCGGTGTTTTCCCACATCTCGACATCCAGGGGCGGTTTCCTTGGGGCACCAGGGCAATCAAGAATAGTTGGCTTTACGCAAGAGCGACCCTGCGCAAGAGTGACCTATGCTGTGCGGCTTCAGGGAGGCGCGGGGGACGCCGAACCCACACGCGCGCACGCCGCCACTTTCGCATTGCACTCAGCGATCGGGGGACCCGCAAGTCACTCTGGCAAAGGTATACTGTTACCGTCATCGTGCTGCCAGAAAGAGCGCAAAACCATGATCGAATGGGGCTATTCTGGCCACGGCGGGCCTAGGCCACAAGCAGGTTCCACGAGATCAATTTAAGGAACGGCCCGAGAACCCGAGTCCCTCCTGAGCTCGGGGGCGTCCAAGAGGCGGGCGTCCCACAAGGGGGGGGGCGCAAATCATGGCCGGCGGCAAGTGCGCGGCCCGGGGGGGGGGGGGCTGGGCGGGGACGTATTGAAATCAGAAGAAGGGGCGCCATGAAATCTAGAAGATATCATGGTCCTCGCCATGATAGCCCCCCCCCCCATTCGACTCCCCCTGCCGGAGGCCCCGCCCCCTTTCGTCGCCGTCCGGAAGCGGCCCCCCCGCCCCCCTTTCGCTTCGCCCTCCGGAAGCCCGCCCCCTTCCTTCTCCCCCGTGCGGAAAACGAAAAAGAGAAAGGGGCTCAGCTGCCTCCCTCCCCCCTTGAACCCGCCCTGCCGGAAGCCCCCCCGCCCCCGCCCTGTCGTCGCCATTCCGAAGCTGCCCCCCCCCACCCCCCGCCTTTCGGCCTCCAGAAACTAGCCCCGCCCCCTTTCCGGAGGGGAAGGGGTCATAGCTACCCCCCCCCTCCTTCCCTTGGGCCCTCCCTGCTGGAAGCCCACCCCCCTAGTCATAACCCCCCCTTGGCCCTTGGCCGCTCCCGATGAGCCGCAGACGGTGCTTAATATTTTCAGCGTCTTGACTGCATGTGCAGGCGACGCGGGCCCAGGACAGGGGTCGGGGCCGCTGGGGTCGCGGGCTGACCAGAGGGCGGGGGCCCAGGACATCCAACGTCTTGACAAAGCCGGCTCCAATGCAGCCACAGGGGGTCGCTTGAGAATCGCTCCTTCTCGCCCCCGCCCCCCCTTTCCTCCCTCCTCCCCCGCGCTCCCTCCCCCTCTTCCTCCTCCCTCCCTCTCTTCCCTCCTCTGACCGTTTCCCGTCATACAGTGGAGGCCAGTCCACAAGAAAGCGCCCACAGGAAGCCCGACCCTGAGACCTCGGGACGTCCATTGATTTCTGGTGCGGGAGCGTCACGCCCTCCGCAACACCACCGAAAGCCAGGAAACCCGGGGCACCCTGGAGGCAGGCAAGGCGTTTCTTGGCATGGGCCTCCGCTGGTGGCCCGCGGCCCCACCCACAGGGATCGACGCGGAGAGGCAGGCCACCCCCGCCCACCCTCCCCTCGGAGCCAGCCTCGGTGGCGCCGGTGGCACTTCTCCTCGCCGCGGCGCTTACGGGCGTGGCCGGCGCTCACGGCTGCGCTGCACAAGTGGTTGCCGTCGCCGTCGTCGCCACCGCCACCGCCACGGCCGCCGTCGTCATCGGCGTCACCGCCGCCGCCAGCGTCGTCGTCGTCGTCGTCGGTCGTCGCCGTCGCCGTCGTCGTCGTCGCCGTCGCCGTCGCCGTCGCCGTCGCCGTCGCCGTCGCCGTCGCCGTCGCCGTCGCCGTCGCCGTCGCCGTCGTCGTCGTCGTCGTCGTCGTCGTCGTCGTCGTCGTCGTCTTGGTCGCCCACGCTACCTCACATGCGACTGCCGCGCAGGTTGCGCACGGTCACTCAAGCACGATGCAGCTCCTCTCGGTAGCTGGGCGAAGGCTGGCAAATCCGTAGATGCTAAAACGGTCTTCCCGGAAGACAAACACAAGTTCTCGGAATCAAACTCATCGCACTAAATAGTAAACGGTCTGCTCCCCAGAAACAAACAAATCCTGGAGCTCCGTGCTAGCAGCCACGGGCTTGCCAGCCTTCGCCTGGCTTCTGATCCTCATCCTCTGCCCGGCCCTATGCACGTGCTGCTCCTCATGAGCCTGCTGCGCTGAGCACCCCAAGAAGCATCGGCGCCACCACCTCTGGCAGGCACTGTCTGGGGTGCCCCCCGGTGGGCTCCCCCGCTAGAGGCGGGCCGCGGCAAGCTGCGGAAGGCCCTCAGGGGTCTCCGAGTGGGCTCGGTGCAGACCCCCTGGGTACCCTTGGGGATCGCCGCGCGACTTACTTGGGATGCCTCGGGAGCGTGGTTGGGATTCCACACGTCCGAGCTCCAGATGGCCCCCAGGGCCTGGCCTGGAGGCCTCGCGGGCGCCCCTGTGGCGGTCTTGGAGGCGCCAGGAGTTCGAGGCGGACTCCCGCGTGCCCCCGAAGGCCCACGGACGCCCCTGGAGACCCCACGCGTCTTCAATCCAAAGGGGCGTTTGGGCTGACGCCGCGGTTATTGTCGCCCCGTCGGGGAAGCCAGCTGGCGGGGCAATGGGGAACCTGCGTCGGCCTCAATGGCGTGATTCCAGTGCTGCTGCTGCCACCCAGTAGATCACCAGTGTTTCAACGTGACCGTTCCTGCGAATGTAGAAGTCCACGGAAGCAACATGAGGCCCATGCGAGAGCCGCGCCCCCATTAGCATGCCCCAGAGGCAGGCCAGTGGGCTTTGGCGGGAAAATCACCCTGCGGCTGATCCCAACCAATCACCACACGGCCCAAAAAGTAGGAACAGCGGTCGCCTGAGCGCATCCCAGCAGACAGGCAGTGGTGCCTGGTCGATAGCAGACCTCCCAACAAGGCGGACCTCAGAAGCGCACTGCGGGCAGACTGCTTGCGGGTCGAGCCCTGAGCAGCTCGTGCCACGGGGCCCGACGAGATCGGCCATCTTACAGTCGGGCCGCTGAAAGAAAGAACGCCAAATAAGGAACGAAGCCCCTTCTTGGCCCCGTAAGCACCTCCGTGCCCCAGGAGGGCAAGAGGAACAGCCCTGCAAGAACCCAAGGGACATCGAGCCCCCTCCGAACCCAAACTGTTCCTCATTTCAGCGCCTTGAGGAGGAGGAGGAGGAGGAGGAGGAGGAGGAGGAGGAGGAGGAGGAGGAGGGAGGAGGAGGAAGGAGGGAGGAGGAGGAGGAGGAGGAGGAGGAGGAGGAGGAGGAGGAGGAGGAGGAGGAGGAGGAGGAGGAGGAGGAGGAGGAGGACTGTGTGGGCGGACCCCAGGACAGCACGCTCCGGGCCTCGGGCGAGAGCACAGCGGCCCGTGGGGCGAGCCGCGGCGCAGCGGCCCGCCTGCGCGAGCCGGGCGAGGCGCACAGCAACGGCAGGCCAGGCGATCACACGGCACGGCGGGCAGGGGACGAGCGGACAAGCGGACGAGCGTTAAGTCGGGCCTGTCCCCCTACAGGGGGGATTTTCGATGATAAATGAAACATAATCAAAAATATACTCAAGTATGGTCAAACGATGCTTAAAAAATCGGACCCCCGGAGTATTTTTGCACTATTTTTGGATATTCCTCCTGTAGGGGGACAGGCCCGACTTAAGACAAGCGGCCTGCAGTCCAGGTGCCGCGGGAGCACTGCAGGGTGGCGCCGGGGCGCCGCTAGTGGTGAAGCAATGCGACAACAGCAAGACGCTTGCACAAGTGGCTGCTTCTCGCCTGGGCCGCTGGCTGCGGCCTGGCGCCCTCGGCGGCGACCCACTGGGGCGCTGCGTCTTGGTCGCATTACCGGCCCCTGGATCTATAGTCTACCAGTATCTCGCCATCGCTCGGACGTCCATTCCTCGTGCATTTGTTCGGTTTTGTGCGTGTATTTTTTCGCAGGATGGCCCAATATGGTCCTCGATGATCCTCGCCGATAAAAAAAAACAAACACACACACACACACACACTCACACTCACACTCACACTCACACTCATACTCACACTCACACTCACACTCACACTCACACTCACACTCACACTTACACTTACACTTACACTTACACTTACACTTACACTTACACTTACACTTACACACATACACACACACGCGTCCGAGCGATGCAAAGGTATAGTAAGGTGCAAAGGTATAGTAAGGATGCGCGATAAGGATGCAAGGGCCTTGGACGCCCATGTCGAGGCCTTTCGAGCGGGGCGCAGCCAGCGAAAGCGGCGAAGGATGGACCGAGGACGCAAGGATGCAAAGGTACCCTTGGGAAGGTTGCCCATCCTTGCTATGCGGGTTGACTGTACCGAGATCGCCGGACTCCGCACGAGGACCAGTCGTAGGGGAACGAACAACGACATAAACAGAAAAACTCGGAGGCCCGCGCAATTTTCTCGGACCCGCGCTGGACCCCCCTGGCGGCGCCTCCGGCGCCGCCCCTGGCGCGCTCCGCACGCCAGGGAGGGGGGTCCAGCACCAATCCGAGAAATCCGCGCGGACCTCCGAGGTTTTGTGTTTATGTCATTGCTCGTTCCCTTAATTCGGGGGCATGGGCACCACTATGTGGAACTCCCGTCTGGGCGCCGAGGCTCTCATCTGCCACATGGTGGAATGCTCTTCAATCACCGCCGCTGTATATGGCACTACATCTGTTCATAGCTTATCGCATGCCATCGTAGGGTGAGAATCCGGGAAAATGCCCCTTTTCTGGTCTAAACTGCGTCTGGAAAAGCTCGGGCCGGCCTTACGCAGGACAAGATAATGAGGCTCAGTCAAACGGATGCTCCCGAGTGCCAAAGTCACCCCCGAAATCTAGAAATCGACGATCGAGGAGGAGCACTGTCACAGCGTCTGGCCAGGGCGTGCCTTGGCGCGGCATCCTTTGCTGCCTTAGCGGCAGCGGGCTTTGCCGGAACGCCAGGTTCAGCGCCCTGCCAGGGCGGACGAGGAGCAATATTGAAAATACAAAGACGAAGGCGATCAAGAAAACGGAGGCGACTACAGTGGAGCCCAGTCTACAAGAAACCTTCCGCAAGAAACCCAACCCTGAGACACCAGGACGTCCATGCTGTCCACCGCAAAACCATCGACACCCACGAAACCCAGGACAACCTGAAGGCAGGCAGGGTGATTCTTGGCGTGGGTTTCCACTGTACAGCAATCGAAATATGGCCACGAGAACGCGGGTCGAGAACGCGAGCCCATTTTAGCAAAGGCCGGAGGGCCCGATGGAGATGCCTGAAGCGAGCGAAGGAGACTCCAAGGTGGGGGGCCCGAGCAGGAAGAACGTAAGGGCACCAACAGGCGATGTTCGACGAACAATCAAAAATAACCAAAACATATACCAAAACGGTCAAACATTATCCCAGAGCGACCCTACCTAGGAGTTGGAGCCCCTAGGAGAGCAATATTAGTAGTAACGGTAAACGCCGTCCTCCTCCTTCTCCTCGTCGTCGCAGTTGTAGCAGTAGCGGTAGTAGTAGTAGTAGTAGTAGTAGTAGTAGTAGTAGTAGTAGTAGTAGTAGTAGTAGTAGTAGTAGTAGTAGTAGTAGTGTTATGCTATGCTATGCTATCCTGCGCTATGCTATGCAATGCTATGCTATGCTGGGCTATGATAAGCTATGCTAGGCTATGCGATGGCATGATATGCTGCGCTATGCTATGCTATGCTATGCTATGTTGCGCTATGATATGCTATGTTATGCTATGCTATGCTATACTGTGATGTGCTGTGCTATGCAATGCTATGCTGCGCTGTGCTATGCTAAGCAATGCTATGCTATGCTATGCGATGCAATGCTATGATATGCTATGCGATGCTATGGAGAGCTATGTTATGCTGCTGTGCTATGCTATGCTATGCTATGCTTGGCGATGCTATGCTATGCTATGCTGTGCTCATGCTGCGCTGCGCTATGCTGCGCTGCGCTGAGCTAAGCTAAGCTAAAATAAGCTAAGGTATGTTAAGCTAATCTAAGCTAAGCTAAGCTAAGCTAGGCTAGGCGAAGCTGAGCAAAGCTAAGCTAACATAAGCTAAGCTAAGCCATGCTAAACTAAGCTAAGCCAAGCTAAGCTCAGCTAAGCTAAGCTAAGATGAGCTAGGCTAAGCTTAGCTAAGCTAGGCTAGGCAAAGCTAAGCTGAGCTAAGCTAAGCTGATATGAGATAAGCTAAGCTAAGCTAAGCTAAGCCAAGCTAAGCTAAGCTAAGCTAAGCTAAGCTGGGTGAACCCACGGGGCGGGGACTGGGGGGAACCGCTCCCAGGGGACTGGGGGAACCGCCAGGGGCGCTTTGCACTGCCCGGCCCCTTTAAGCTAAGAGGGTAAGAACCCTCTAGGCAGAGCCTAGGTAGGGAATAATAGAAAAATCGTCCCCAGACTATGTTTTGACTATTTTTGAATATACCTCCTGTAAAGGGACAGGCCCGACTTAAGAAGGCTAGGGCAGAGGGAACCAATTTGTTTGAACACTCCACCTCCAACCCAAAACTCAAAGCTGGCACGCGCAAGGGGGAGACTGCAATCGAGGTGCAACTCATCGTACCCACCGCCAACTCGCGACGCTGCGCTCCGCGCCGGGCGCATGGACCTGCCGTCGCGCGGCTGGCACGGAGCGGAGCTCCTTCGAGCTCTCTGTGCTTAGAGGCCTCCTGGATTTAGGTCGGGCGTGTCCCCCGACAGGCCGACTTTGGACGAAGAGTCACAGGTACCCTAGACAGATCCAACAAAATATTCAGGAGCATTCGCAAAAAAGTCCCCGACATATGTTTTGGACTATTTTTGAACATTCCCCTGTAGAGGGACATGCCCGACTTGATCCTGGGTGGGGTCGGAGCAGATGGGGTCGGACGATCGCACCGCATCGGCGATGCATCGGCGATGCATCGGGGATGCACCCGCGACACATCGTCGACGTCGGCGATGCATCGGCGACGCAGACGTGAAGCAAATCGGGCCCCACATCGAGCCGCATCAGCGATGCATCGGCGATGCGGCGCGATCCTCCGACCCCACCTGCTCCGACCCCATCTAGGAGACCTGCTCCGACCCCACCTGCTCCGACCCCATGATTGGTCAACCTGGAATCATCTAAATGCTCTTGAAGGGGTCCTTGCCCTGGAGCTCCAGGCGCTCTTGAGGATCGCCGCGTGGCTTTACTAAGAAGGCCTCGGGAGAGTGTTTGGAAGTCCCGCGCGCCCGGCATGGTCCATGATGGCCCCAGGGCCAGTCCTAGAGCCCTCTTTGGGCGCCTCCTCGGCTGTCTTGGATGCCGTGGGAGCCGTCCTAAGAGGCCGACATAACTGAACGATTTTAGACTTGCCAATGAGTTTTAGCATTCTGGCCCGTTCGGCCCTGCAAGCGCTCAAGACGAAGACGGACCAAGAGGCCCCCAAGACCGCCATGACGGCCTCCCAGCCCCATACATAGAGAGGGCCCCCCGCATGGCTCCAAGAGAAAGAGCACAGGCTAACATGTGGAGCCATGGATCCCAAGATGCCTTCCAAGACCTTCAAGAGGGGGCCCCCAAGAGGTCCCCAGGATACCCCCAATCGGCCCCGAGGAGGCCTCCCAAGAGGCCTCCCGATAGACCACAACAGTCATCTACTACCCTCAGCAAACTTCAACCTCAGAAAGGTGTCATGCAGTTTCCTCGTCGTGCGCGCAAGGCGCTTGATGGCACTCCCTTTCTAACGGCGGTCACCGCGGAACTTCCGAGCCACACCAGCCCCGACCGCGTTTCGCTCTGCCTCGACGCTGACGGGGTCGACGCTGAATGGGCGAAAGAGGGCGACATTGAAGTGGCGCGTCAACCACTGTTGATATCCTTTTTGCCGAAGGTTGTAACTGGGGAAACCAAGAAGTACCGATACTGCTACACCCTGGACCTCTCCTGGGCTGCGTTCTGACCAGAATTTCGAAGCGATCCCAGCCGTGGCGACGAGGGCTTCTGAGGGGGCCCAAATAAAAGAAAACGAGGCAACGGAATCGGTTTCGGTACCCTTTCCTCCTCTGAATAGAGGCCTCCCAAATGGGGTCGGAGTAGATGGTGTCGGAGGATCACGCCGCAACGCCGATACATCGGCGATGCATCGGCGATGCATCGGTGGTGAAGCGGCGTTGCATCGTCGGCGTCGGCGATGCATCGGCGACATCGGCGTGACGAAAACCGGGCTCCACATCGAACCGCATCGGCGATGCATCGGCGATGCGGTACGATCCTCCGGCCTCATCTACTCCGACCCGTCTAGGAGGCCTAGATCTGAGTAGTATTAGGGCGCGTACCCGCAACCCAGGCACGGCTCTGGGCTGGGCAGAAGAGCCATCGGACAACGACCGCTGAAGCATCCGCTCGTAGGAAGGCACCAACTATACACCAACACCGATCCTGGACAGGATCACCCTGGGCCCAGGATCGGTGTATACGCCCTCCTGCCTTGCGCAAGAAGGCATATACACCGATCCTGGGCCCAGGGTGATCCTGGGCCAGGATCGGTGTTGGTGTATAGTTGGTGCCCTCCGAGCTCGCCCCCGGGGGGGGAGCGCCAGGCCGTGCCGCTGTCCCGCTGGGCTGCCGTCCTGCTGGCGTCTGCTCGCTGTTTCCCGTCCCGTCTCTTGCCATCGCTCGGACGTCCATGCCCCGTGCATTGGTTTCGGCCTCGTGCGTTTGTGTTGTTGTTGTTGCTGCGTTTGTTGGTGTTGGTGTTGTTGCTGTTGCTGCGGTTGCTGTTGTTGTCGTTGTTGTTGTTGCTGCTGTTGTTGCTGTTGCTGTTGCTGTTGCTGTTGCTGTTGCTGTTGCTGTTGCTGTTGCTGTTGTTGTTGTTGTTGTTGTTGTTGTTGTTGTCGTTGCTGCTGCTGTTGTTGTCGTTGTGGTTTCCGCAAGATGATCCAGAAACGTCCGAGCGATGCCAAGGCCAGCTGCTTCCTGACTCCTCGGCTCCTGCCATCGCTCGGGCGTCCCTGCCCCGTGCGCTTGCTTCGGCATCGCGCGTGCGTTGTTCGCAGGGTGCTCCAAGAATGCGGGACGGGAAAATGATCACAGCCACTGCTTCTTGTTTGCGCTGCCTTCCAGCTGGCCGAAAAAGCAGTGGTTGTGGTCATTTCCCTGGTGCCAAGCTTAACGAACATGACCACAACCACTGCTTTGTTTCTGCTGGCTGGAAGGCGGCAACAAAAGAAAAGCAATGGGTGTGGTCGTTTTCACGTCCCGTAAGGAACGCCCGAGCGATGCCAAGGTCTGCTGCTTCCATGTCTCATCGGCCCTCCGGTCCTGCCCGTCGTCTGCTTTTGTGCCGGGACGGCCCACCGCGCCCAGCAGAGACACGCCATGGGGTAAGGCTGGACCCACACGTTGTTTTTCGTGCTGTGTTCGTGTTGCTCTTCGTGCTGCTCTAACTGTTTTTCCTGTACCTCCCTCCCAAAACGAAACACAAACCACCGCCGAAGTCAAGCAACACAGCGTTTAGGTCCAGCCCTGCCAGGGGGGGGGGCTCAACATCCTGGCCGCTCCATGTCGACTCAGGGCTCCCGTGGGGAAGTCGCTGGGCAGCCAAGAGGTGTCAAGCGGCGCCCAGGGAGGCATCAGGAGGGCCCAACGAGGATCACAAGAACTCAAGATGGTCTAACCTAGCATCGAAGCGGCCCCAACAGTGCCCCCCCCCCAACAGACAACCAAAACAACAACATAACCAACATGACCCCCCAAAGCACTCCCAGAACGCACTCAACCAGGGAGAAGCTTTTGGCGTTCGAGGTGTGATGCCTGTCGACTGAATTGCTCACAGGACGTCCCAATGCTGCTTCACGACGGACCTCGGAGGCCCCGATGTGGCCCACGTTGGGCCTCAGCAGGTCCCAAGACGCCACCAGCACCGCCCAAGACGGGATCGGAGTTTGCCCCACGACACTCGCCAGAGTCTTCATCCTGCCAAGCTGCACGATGTCCTCGTCAAGGCTTCTAATCAATTCACAACGCGTTCCACTGGGGTCCCACACCGCTCCCCAAACACGTGTACCAATATGGATCCGCCTGGGGGCCAGGCTGGCGGCAGAGGGCGCGCTGCCAATGAGAGATGTCCTCCTCCATCCTCCCTCCATTCGACCCGTGCTTATAAGAAAGTGGGCGCCGTTGGACATCCGCTTGGAAAGTTAAACTCAATTTCTGCCCTTCGAAGGTAGGACATCACCGTGTGCACGGGGCACCGCGCTGGACAAACCGCAAGACACGGCTCGATAGCGGGGGTGGGCGAATCACCCGCGCGAGTTCCTGCTGCTGCTCTTCCACCTCCTCCTGCTCCTCCTCCTCCCGTGTCATTCCAGATCGTGGCCGTGCTGCATCCGCGGTAGTGGGATCCTCTGCAATTCATTCAAGTGAGCACCAATACTTGGTGGAAGATTAGATCGGGTTCAGCCCACTGGAGATCTCGTGTCGTGCACGTGTATTTCCCGACGTGCTGGAGTTATCCCTGAGGCTTTCGACGTTTAATTTGCTCTTCGAAGGACGATCACATATCCTGATACACCAAACATACACGCCCGCTGTTTTTTGACCGCTGGTTGCCCGCTAGGGATACGTGATCCCTGCATGGTTGCTCGCCGTGAACCTCCTCACGGACCCACAGAAGCAGTGAAATCATGCAACAAGGCATGGAGGGAGATATTCAGAAGACAGTCGGACCAATGTACTTTCTCCCTTCGAGTGGCCACCAACGTGATTGCCCAGACTGAAGACACACCGCAGTCTCAACTTGTGGTGGAGAGAGTGCCTCTTGAATTCCAAGTCATCTGGCTGCGGCTCAAGAGCTGCGTGCTCAGCGAAGTGTGTGTCTGTGTGTGTGTGTGTGGTTTGCTCTTTGTGAGTAAATGGCATGCGGCAGATATTTGGAATGCTTGGGTCGGGTCCCAGACAAACGCTGCCACCCTCATAGCAATTACAAGTGGCGCTCCCTCCTGAAAGAAAAAACAACGAACGATAAACAAAGAGAGAGAGAGAGACTTACGCATGGAATCGGACATAAACTATGGAAGCACGATGCGGCGTACGTCCCTCCGCGAAAACTCACACACGTGTTCTCCAGCCAGCTCCCCCTCGCCCCTCCCCGGGGCCCGTCACCAATCTCGGCGCGACCGCTGCAGCCTTGGGGGCTGGGGGCGCCGCCGCATCGCTGGGCAACAAAAACCTGCATCTGCTTCTGCGGAGGGCTGCACCAACCTTGCAGGTAGCGAGGGCAGTGGAGCCGGGCGACGGGTGAGCACGTCACTCGGCTCCGTTCTGCGAGAATTAAGTTGTTCTCATCCTACTTTTGGACGCCCGACATGGGTACGGAAAGAATGGGCACAATGCCCAACAGCAGTTCTTGCTCATTTTGAACAGGACTCGCTGTCGGTGTCGCCGCGGACTGTGTACATTCGAGACAGAGGGCCGCCTGCCCAACAGCGGCCGCTGTTGGTTTGGGACAACATTTGTTGTTGGGCATTGTACCCATTCTTTCCGTGCCCATTTCGGGCGTCCAAACTACTTAAGGACCGCATCCCAGAAATAATTTCGAGTATCCGGACAAGTGTCAAAAGAGTGTCGAAACAGTGTCGGGCGGGTGTCTCCCAGGACCCGACAGGTGAAAGCCTTTGAGTTTCGGTACTTGTTTGGGCTCTCGAAATTCTTCCTGGTGACCAAGGCTAAAGTAGGTTGGAACATCATAACACGAGAGCTGGATGCTTGCCCGACCATGCCTTCCGAGAGCAAGGCTGCACAAAGACTTGCGCTGCGTGGCCCGCTGTCCGGACCTCAGCGGCGGGCTTCACTTTCTTCACCTTTCGCTTCACCCTCTTCCTAGCGGCGGGCAAACAGCTGGAGGCGAGGGAGAGGAGGACGCGCAATTCGCCAGCCCAACGGGCCAATGGTGTCTTGTACAAAGGTCTCCCGCCCGCCACGGTCTTGCCACAACGATGCTGAGGGTGATGGATGTGAGGAGCCGCTGACCTCTCTAACAGCTCTCCACAAGCCCACTGGCCCTCGGCGCCAAGGCACGGCGCTCAGTATCAAGATTCCATGCGACATTTCCAGGGCGGCCCAAGAAGATCTCCGAACAAATCCATGGCTCTGGCAACGCTCAATGCGAGATGAGGCCAGGCCACGCTGGCCCACATTGGCACCAGACGGCCTCCGCGACTGCCCCAAGACATCCCCAGCAAACTGCCAAGAGGACCACAAGATGCCTCCAGCACACTCGGCGGCCCCAAGACGGATCGGAGGCGTCCCCAGGAAACCACAGTCCCACCAAGGACGGCCTCAATCTGCCAACAAGTGCCCAACGTGCCCAGGCACTCCCTCAAAGTGGTAAATGAAGATCGCTGAGATGCAGCCGCTATCAAACATGCGTTTCCTGACTTCGGCTTGCTAAAACAAGTGTCCATGCTTCTTCAATGCACGGAAGCCAATGGCCGCGAATCTCCTGGCAGCCGATTCTCGTGCGGATCCTAAATGCAGGCTTGACCAATCGCGCCAAAATACGCCAACCATATCTCGGTCTGCATTGCATTGGATTGCATTGCTTCGCCTTGCCTGGCTTTGCACATCATTGCGTCGAATTGCGTCGGATTGCTGTGCGTTGACATGATTTGCAGAACAATGCTTCGCATGTCGTATTGCAACACCTCAAGCCTGCATTCACAACACTGCCTTTTTTGATCCCATGCGGGACTATACAACACAATCTCTCCCACCGAACTTGCACTGGTTGGTGCGTCGGGCCATCGGCTTTTCCGTTGTTTCGCCCCGTGCGAAGCAGCAGACAAGGCCCCCCCCCCGACGCAACGAGACTGGCATGCGTTCACGACTGGACCGGGCCCCCTCGCTTCCCGCCTTCTGCTCAGCAAGACTGGCGCCCCGCCCCCCTTCGAGCACACGCTGACATGGACTGAGGATCCTTAGATCTGGCGCATGAGCGCCAGATCCACACATCGTGGCAAGTACTTATTTGAAGGGGCCCCAGGACACACAAATAAATACACACAAATAAACATATTCCCAGATTTTCCGATATTTTCTGGGTTTCTGTCTTCCCCCCCACTTCCCATATTTTCCAATATTTTCTGGGAATCGACGATTAATTGTGTCTGTGTTTTTCCCCCTCCTTCTTATTGATCTATGTATTCTCCTCCGCCCGACTGGGGCGACGGAGCGCGCCGCTTCTGCACGGACGCGGATCCCGCCGCTGACCCGCGCGCCCGGATCCAGGCTTGCGGCTTCCCTGCGCCAGGCACGGAGCGGCGCTCCCTCCCGCCGTCCCCTCCGCACACCCTCCCTGGCCCACACCCCCTCCCCCAGCCCCACGCCTGAGCGCGGCGGCGGATTGGTTCGCGCGGCAGCGCGATTGGATATGGTACAAGTGCGGCGCAGCGCTGCAGGACAGAGCGCACCATCTCAGCGCAAAACAACACAAGGTAGGGCACGGAAAGCAGATCAGGGAAAACAAACAACGGCAACACAAGGATAACAACACGATGTAACGACATGCGGTCCAATTGCAACACAATGCGCAACAATGTCAAGACAACACGAAGTAACGCTGTAACGTGTACCAACCTTGTATCTCTGTTCGCTAGGTGTGAACTGGCTCTAATGTCAACCTTGTCTTCACTATTGCGAACAACTTGTTGCATAGTGTGTTAGACACAAAATATCACTGATTGGGGCCGCGCCGGGTCCATCCAAACTTCAGTCTGACAGTCGCATCCTGGGCATGCACGAACGTCTTTACGCGTTTCTGCAGGTTTGGGGGCACGGGTGACTCGCCGCGGATGTCTTCGATCCACCGCCCCATGTGGTCTTGCCTCATGGGCACTGGGCTTGCTGAGTGCTGTCCGCAGACACATTGGTCCGTTGCGCTGGGCCGCCCCCTCCTCCGACGCTCCTGGGACGGCCCCAGACTGCCTCCGATCACCTACGGGTGGCTGCAGAAAAGGCCCGACATCCAGCCAAGCCGGCCAAAGACTTTCTGCGATGGCGTCCGATACAGTCCAAGATGGTCCTCGAGATGACCCATGACCCTCTTATGGCCTTCAAGTTGACTCAAGACGCGCCATGTTTGAAAGCAATGCACTTACCATGCTACTGCAGTTGGCTCGAAATGACCTCCATAAGGGGCGTCGAGACGGACCCCAGGCTGTTCCAACTCCAGACGCCAACCTCACGTGCGCGCCTAAACTACATTACATTATTTGAGGCCGTCCCTGCATTCCTATAGCCCTACCACGAAGTGTTCTCAGGACGAAAGAATGTTATACTATCAGAGAAGATGTTCGTAAAACAGAAAGAAGCCGATGCATTCAACCAAACAATCCAAACCAGAAGCGTACACACAATACAGTATGTATTACAGGTGTTTTAGAACGCTCTTTCACCAATGCCAAAACGGCACACACCACAACCATAACAACCATCTCACACCAATGCCAAGACGGCACACACACAACACATACACACCATACCTAACCCACGACGCGTCCACATGAATCTCGCATTCGACTCCAAAACATGTATTCGACTCATATCTTCACGACGGATACCACATATCATCAGACACTAGGGTCGCACACTAGCACACCAAAATTTGCTCGTAGCCGCCCGGCTGGCTATCTTTCCCACATCGACGCTCCAGTTGCAGAGCCACCCCGCAGACACGATAATAACTGCATAATACCTTGCGCACGCATTATGCCGCCATCAAGACTCCAGGCGGATTATTGCGCACAGGACGCGCGACAGGACACAAGACTCTTCCGACGGCAACATGGCCTCCAAAACCACAGGACACAAGGGTACCCTGCCGAGGCCGCGACCGCGGTTACCCGCGGCCGACCCGCAACCCCGCGACGGGCGGCGCACGCCAGACAGGACGCCAAGGGTATCCGACAGGCCGCGCCCCTCGCCGCGTGAGAAATCCTGCGTGGCGTGTCGCCCGCGCTTACCCACCTTCGGGGGCGATCGCGCGACCTGTCGCCATGGCAGAGGACGAGAAAACCAGGGCGCGGCCGCGGACGTTGCAAACGAGAGGACGCGCAGACCACCCTCCCGCAGGAGAGCGATCTGTCGCCAGGGGAACAGGACCAGAGGACCTGGGCGCGGCCACGGACGTCGCAGATTGAACTTGCAGGGCTGCGCAAGTACAGGACACAAGGGTACCCTGCTGCGAGGGGGCGACCTCGAATCAACGCGTCGTTGGTTCACAAGCGGCGCGCCCGAACTCAGAGGACATCGCAGATAGACCCTTCGCCGCGGCGCCAGCGGCGCGGCGCTGAAACCATAATCATACCTTGAAGCCACATGAACCCCCAAATCTGAGAGGACGCCAAGGTACCCTAGACAGGGGCCGCGACCTCCCGCCGGCGCGACGCGCTCAGACCGCCGCGGGCCAAGCCACCGACACCCGCGGAAACCACAGGACGCAACGGTACCCTGCCCTTCGGCCGCAGAGGACACGACGCGCGATGCACAGGACACAAGAGCACCCTTGATTTCGCAGGGCCGACCTACTAATGGAACCCGACTGTGCTGGCTACTGACCAGACGTGCTGTCGCCACTGATCAGACACACAAGAACCATTGTCGTGGTTTATATGTTGCTCCTATCGTAACAGACCACATCCCAGACATAATTTCGATCACCTGGAAAGGTGTCGAAAGAGTGTCGAAACAGTGTCGAACGAGGGTCTCACAGGGCCCGAGATGCGAAAACCATTGAGTTGTTGGGTGCTGTTCTGGTGCTCGAAATTCTTTCTGGTGGTCAAGGCTAAAGTAGGTTGGAACTATCATAAGTCGTGGTGATGCCTTGCAGCTGCTGCCGCATGCGCAGCTCGGTCCCCGCACCCCCACCGCACGGCCAGCCCGTGGCGACACGGCTGTGCGTCGCGCCGTGACGACCGCTCGGCGCTGGCTCGGAGCTGGGCGGCCTCGCGGCCAGGCGAAGAGAGAAGCGACCTGGAATTGGAGGCGGCCCGGCGGTCGGAGCCGGCTGGGCCCCGAGAGAATCGACCAAGCGGGTGGCCGGAGGAAAATCCGCTCAAAATCAGTCCCCAGGCTGGTTTTTGAATTCAAGCGACTGGTTTTTAGATTCAAAGAACTGGTTTTTGCAATAAAAGAACGTGTCTTTTTTGGAGTGCGAAAAACTCGCTTTTGATATCCATTTTTTGGAATTCAAGAACCAGGGTCCACCTGGTGCAATTCTTCGCCTGGATCCGTTCTTGACGGTCCCCAGGCACGATGGCGGCCCCCAGACACCGAAGCGGGCCACAGAAAGCGTGAGAGCCCAGCGCCTCGAACCTTGCCATCGCTCGGACGTCCATTCCCTGTGCATTTTTCGGTTTCGTGCGTGCTTTTGTTTGCTCGATGATCCAGGATGGTTCTCCAGGGTCCTTGCCGAGAAAACAGATGCACACGTCCGAGCGATGCCAGGGAACCTGGCCCTCCCCGCTTCCAGCTGGCCGGAACCAGGGCTGGGCCACCGCAGGCCCCCGTCGGA